CACAGAGGTCGCTGGTTAATTCTGCATCAGGTTCAGCTGATGTCACAGGTGATGATTCTGATCGTTTAAGGAGATTATGTGAGATTGTGTGTGTGTGTGTGTGTGTGTCGGCTGCTAGAGACAGTGCTGTGCCATTTACAGGTAGATTTGGTTTTACACTGATTTAGACTGATTCATTAATTTTATATGAAACATCTGGTTTTCTGCTTTCAGTCCATTAAGACCCAAATAAACAGAAAATAATCCATTGAAATAATTATCTTTTGCTCATAAAGGATTTAATTTGCTGCATCAGTGTTTCTCAGGAAAAGTTAATAATGAATTAAATAATGAAAAATATAAAAGTAAAATAAATAATTTTAAAATACAAATAATCAAAATAAAACAAATTAAAACAATTTAAATCACCAAAATGTAAAATTGAAATGAAGACACCATTTTAAAATAAAAACAATCAAAATAAAGCACTGAGTGAAAAAAAAATTTTTTTTAAATTTAAATGAATCATTTAAAAAATGCTTACTAAAATAAAATTATAAAATTAAAATAAATAATTTTAAAATAAAAAATAATCAAGTCACAACTAAAAACAAATGAAATAAAAAAAAAAAAAAAATTTAAAAACGCTTACTAAAATGAAATAATAAAATATAACATTAAATATTTAAAATGAAACGCTTATTAAAAGCAAATTATATTATAAAATTAAAATGAATAAATAAGATAAATAATAAACATTTAAAAATAAAAACAATCAAAATTAACTTATTAACCCACATCAGACAACCGTGAACATGTGAATGCGTTTTTGAAATATTAACTAAAATATACACACCCGCGCAGCGTTGTAGATGCGGAAGATCCTGCTGATGATGTCCTCCTCCAGATCCGCCGACACAAACTTTGTTTGTGTCACACAGAGAATCAAACACTCAAAAAGGAAACAGACTGTCAAACTGAAGCAGAAACACACAGAATCTCTCCAGCAGTGTAAACACTATGAAATATTTACTGACAGACGCTCTGTGTGTGTGTGTGTGTGTGTGCGTGCATTTGTTATCCATTCAAATCTCCCATCATCCTCTATTTGACGGCCTCGCTCTCCGCCGGCTGCCACTGTTGTGTTTTTGTGAAAGAATACGTGATGAAAAGGAGTTTGTGTGCGGGACACACTGTCACTCAGCATTTGAAGTGTGTGTGTGTGTGTGAGTGTGTGTGATGTGTGGTGTGTGTGATGTGTGTGTGTGTATGTGAGTGTGTGTGTGAGTGAATGTGATGCATGAGTGAGTGTGTGTGTGTGTGAGTGAGTGTGTAAAAACATCCATTTCTGCTCACAAACTCACTCAAAACACTGTAAACACTCTCACAGATGAACAACTGACAGAAACGACTCGTGCTCACAAGTTTGATTACTTTCAGTGAATCTCTTCAAGTTGTCGGTTTCAACGAATTCAAAGCTTAGATTTAAATGTCTGTTTTTTTCCCATGTATTTAAATGCTTAGTATGAATATCAGCAGGGAAATATTGTTGTTTATGACTATGTGTTGTTATCTAGGTGCATATAAATGAAGTGTGTGTGTGTGTGAGTGTGTGTGATGTGTGGTGTGTGTGATGTGTGTGTGTGTATGTGAGTGTGTGTGTGAGTGAATGTGATGCATGAGTGAGTGTGTGTGTGTGTGAGTGAGTGTGTAAAAACATCCATTTCTGCTCACAAACTCACTCAAAACACTGTAAACACTCTCACAGATGAACAACTGACAGAAACGACTCGTGCTCACAAGTTTGATTACTTTCAGTGAATCTCTTCAAGTTGTCGGTTTCAACGAATTCAAAGCTTAGATTTAAATGTCTGTTTTTTTCCCATGTATTTAAATGCTTAGTATGAATATCAGCAGGGAAATATTGTTGTTTATGACTATGTGTTGTTATCTAGGTGCATATAAATGAAAATATGATTCTTCCTTGTCTCATGACAAAAATAAACTTCAGCAGAAAAAGAAGTTGGTAAGTTTGATTCATTTCAGTGAATCACTTCAAACGGAGTTTTACTGAACTGATTCAAAACTCAGATTCAAATTATTCAAAACCAGTGTTCATCAGAGTTAATCTGTCAGTGTCTCTGTTTGTTATCTGTTATTATATAGGTGCATATGAATGAAAATTAAATATGATTCTTCCTCATCTGATGACAAGTATGAGGCTTATTTAACAGAATCTCTCATTTAAACCTCAGTAGAGTTGGTAAGTTTGATCAGTTTAAATGAATTGATTCAAAACTTTGAATAATTGTTTGTCATTGGTGTTCATGTGTCATGTGTTTTTTCATGTGTTTAAAAAGTTTAGTATAAACATCTGTAGGTAAATATTACTTATACTGGGGCAAATAAATGAAAACGATTAAATTTTTCATTATTCAATTTTTCTTCCTTGTCTTCCTTGCAAAAAATGATCTCTATGAAGAATTTCAGAGAGGTTTCAGGCCCCACCATAGCACAGAAACTGCACTTGTTAAAATTACAAATGACTTGCTTCTTGCGTCAGACCAAGGCTGTATCTCATTGCTAGTTTTACTTGATCTTAGTGCTGCGTTTTTGGAGTCAAGCAAAACGTCTCCGGGCCCACTCATCGTTTTAATCATACGCTAGATTTAATTATATCGCATGGAATTGATCTTACTGATATAGATATCGTACCTCAAAGTGATGATGTTACTGACCATTTCCTTGTATCGTGCATGCTGCGTATTACTGATATTAACTATATCGCTCCGCGTTATCGTCTGGGCAGAACTATTGTTCCAGCCACCAAAGACAGATTCACAAATAACCTGCCTGATTTATCTCAACTGCTCTGTGTACCCATAAGTACACATGAACTAGACGAAATGACTAGCAACATGGGCACTATCTTCTCTAATACATTAGAAGCTGTTGCCCCCATCAAATTGAAAAAGGTTAGAGAAAAACGTACTGCGCCATGGTACAACAGTAATACCCATTCTCTCAAGAAAAAAACTCGTAGTCTTGAGCGCAAATGGAGAAAAACTAACTTGGAAGTTTTTAGAATTGCGTGGAAAAACAGTATGTCCAGCTATAGACAGGCTCTAAAAGCTGCCAGGGCCGAGCATATCCACAAACTCATAGAAAATAACCAAAACAATCCAAGGTTTTTATTTAGCACAGTGGCTAGATTAACAAATAACCAGACGCCACCCGATCTACATATTCCCTCACAGTTTAATAGTAATGACTTTATGAATTTCTTCACTGATAAAATAGATAACATCAGAAATACAATAACAAATGTAGATTCTACAGCGTATAATACTTCAGCTTCATTCATCGCACCAAAAGATAAACTGCAGTGCTTTACAATTATAGGACAGGAAGAGCTAAATAAACTTATCACTGCATCTAAACCAACAACATGTCTGTTAGATCCTGTACCCACTAAATTACTGAAAGAGTTGTTACCTGTAGCAGAAGAACCGCTTCTCAATATTATTAACTCGTCGTTGTCTTTAGGTCACGTCCCAAAACCATTCAAGCTGGCGGTTATTAAGCCTCTTATTAAGAAACCACAACTAGATCCTAGTGAACTGGCAAATTACAGACCCATCTCAAATCTTCCTTTTATGTCTAAAATTTTAGAAAAAGTTGTGTCTGCTCAATTGCGCTCCTTCCTGCAAAAAAATTATCTCTATGAAGAATTTCAGTCAGGTTTCAGGCCCCACCATAGCACAGAAACTGCACTTGTTAAAATTACAAATGACTTGCTTCTTGCGTCAGACCAAGGCTGTATCTCATTGCTAGTTTTACTTGATCTTAGTGCTGCGTTCGACACTATAGATCATGACATACTCATAGATCGATTACAAAACTATACAGGTATTCAAGGGCAGGCTTTAAGATGGTTTAGATCCTACCTGTCCGATCGCTACCATTTTGTTCATTTAAATGGGGAGTCATCTCGATTATCACCAGTAAAATATGGAGTGCCACAAGGATCTGTCCTAGGTCCTCTGCTATTTTCGATATACATGTTGCCCCTTGGTAATATTATTAGAAAATACGGGATTAGTTTCCACTGTTATGCTGATGATACTCAACTATATATCTCAACAAGACCAGATGAAACTTCTAAATTATCTAAGCTAACAGAGTGTGTTAAAAATGTAAAAGATTGGATGACCAATAATTTTCTCCTATTAAATTTGGATAAGACAGAGATATTACTTATTGGACCAAAAGACAGTACACAGAATCTCTTGGATTACAATTTGCAACTAGATGGGTGTACTGTTACTTCCTCTACAGTCAAAAATCTGGGTGTTATATTAGATAGCAACTTGTCTTTTGAAAATCATATTTCCCATGTTACAAAAACAGTATTCTTCCATCTTAGAAACATTGCCAAGTTATGAAATATGTTACCTGTTTCTGGTGCAGAAAAGCTAGTTCATGCATTCATGTCCTCTAGACTGGACTATTGTAATGCACTGCTATGTGGTTGTCCTGCATCTTCAATAAACAAGCTACAGGTGGTCCAAAATGCAGCGGCTAGAGTCCTTACCAGGTCAAGAAAATATGATCATATTACCCCAATTTTACGGTCTCTGCACTGGCTACCTATTAAGTTCTGTATCAGTTACAAAATATTATTACTTGCCTATAAGGCCCTTAATGGGTTAGCTCCTGCGTACCTTACTAGTCTTCTAGCACGCTACAATCCATCACGCTCCCTAAGGTCGCAAAACTCTGGACTTTTGGTAGTACCTAGGATAGCAAAGTCCACTAAAGGAGGTAGAGCTTTTTCGCATTTGGCTCCCAAACTGTGGAATAGCCTTCCTGATAATATACAAAACTACCAAATTTTGTTATAAGTTTGATTGCAACATAATCATTACTGTTAATAGTGTTCACCGTCTGTTTGATTACATGACATTAACTAACTGCTTGATTTTTACTGTACATTTCTGCCATATGTCACCACTGATAAGCTGCTACTAAATATAATGTAGAAACTTTAGTTTTCTGTAAAGCTGCTTTGCAACGATTTGCATTGTGAAAAGTGCTTTACAAATAAACTTGAATTGAATTGAATTGTTCAGATAGAGATGATTTAATAGAGTTGGCAAGTTTGATTCATTTCAGTGAATCACTTCAAGTTGTCGGTTTCAATTAATCGATTCAAAACTGATTCAAAAACTCTCAATATTTGTTTGCACTGCATGTGCTAAAATGATTAGTAAAAATATCAGCAGGTAAATATTGCTGTTTATGACTGTCTGTTGTTATATTGGTGCATATAAAGGAAAATGTTCACATATGATTGTTCATTTAGTGATGATCTGTAGTTATTGTAGTTAACTTGTTGAATGTGTGTGTGTGTGTGTGTTTGCGCAGGTTTGAGCTTCTTTGATGGGCTTTTTGATGGGCCCGAGGCTGTCGTCCCCACAGACACACACACACACACTCTCTCTCTCTCTCTCACACACACACACACACACACACACACAGACACACACACACACACACACACACATCCTCACACAGCACTGTATTATCAGGACAGAAGGCACGATTTTTCTAATAAAGTGATTTATATAATACAATTAACATCAAAACAGGCATGAAGAGCTGAATGAGAGAGAAACCTGATCACAAGTTTATTTGTAAAGCACTTTTCACAATTAAAAAAAAACAATGTTTATTATGAAAACCACTCTAATTTTTATACTTGTATTTTTCAGTCCTGTGTTGAATGCAGTTAAATGTAAAGGATTTGCTGAGGAACGAGAGGAACTAAAATACAGGTTTAAAGTTTGGTTTTGATTCATTTCAGTGACTCAGTTCAAACTGTCCGTTTACTGAACTGATTCAGAGCTCTGATTCAAAAACTCTGAACAACTGTTTGTGTTATTAATGCTCATGTGTCATTATCTCTGTGTTTTACATGTATGTTTTAGTATAAATATCAGTTGGTAAATATTGCTGTTTATGACTATGTATTGTTATATAGGTGCATATAAATGAAAACAATTCAATATGATTCTTCTTCATCTGGTGATGACTATGAGACAGAGGTGATTCAATAGAGTCACTCATTTAAACTTCAGTGAATCAAACTGTTTAATACTCATATTTTTTTATTTGTATTCTGTTCTGAATGTGGGTACATTTAAAGTACTTGTTGTGAAGTGTTTACAGTGTTTGTGAATGTTGCATTTATTGCAATATGACATACACTGATACAACGTATCTGTATTGGTTTTTTCTCTCAATAATGCAATTCTGACCTGGTGTGACTTTAGTCAGTTCAGTTTAAAAATCTTTTCTGAAAACCCAGCGGTTCAGAGACACGTTCTTGTGCTTCAGCGCTTGATCAAAATAATAAATGAACTCCTAACAGCATGGGTCTGACCTGCGCCGGATCCACATCGTTCAGCATCACGATAGATGTGCAGTGATAGTCCAGAACCAGACGCCAGAAGTCCTTCACTGTGTTTGGCAAAGGATGCTGGGTAACGATGAACGCAGACGGCTGCTTGTAGCTCTGACAGAGAGAGACGAATAACACGAGACAGTCATCATCAAATTATACAAAGAGTATTTATGATAAAGCATATTTAGAGTGTAGGAATCAGTCTCATGTGAGTGAGCATCGTGTGTCACTTCACTAATGCTCTTGTTTAAGGGTCAACCCTTCGTGCCCTTCAAGAGCTCAGGCGAGGTCACATGATCGATGCAAACGTGTTTCTGCAGAGTTTGAGCTTCACTGCATCTCAATGTGAGCAGCAGAACAATGAGAGAGCGCTTCAGACACAAAGATGACAAAAAGATGTCTAATCATCATGAAAATGTTTTTGTGACATTATTTTTATAGCAATTAAATGCATTTAACTTTCTCTCTCTCTCAAAAAAAAAAATTACAAATAAATAAATAAATATTTTACACATTACATTTGTTACATTAAAATGTAACATTTAATTTTATATGCATGTGTCTGTTGTGCTGCATTTAATTATGCAATTTAAAAAAAAAATAAAGAAATAACTACATCACACTAATCAGAATCGAAAGAGATTCCTGCATTTGCATAAATAAAGAAATAAATATACACATACTCCTGTGATTATTGAAATAAATACTTGATAACATTTTATGATGTTTGGGACTTTTTTTAATTATATATATATATATATATGCATTTAATTATGCAATTTAAAATAAAATAAAGAAATCATCACATTACACTAATCAGAATTGAAAGAGATTCCTGCATTTGCATAAATAAATAAATAAATATACACACATATATATATATATACATATATATATAAATAAATATACACATATATACATATATATATATATATATGTATGTATGTATATGTGTGTATGTATGTATATGTATGTGTGTATGAGTATATATGTATATGTATGTGTGTGTATGTATATGAAGAGTTTTGTGCCTTATTTTATTTGTTAGAATTAATCAACGTTTATGTTGGAAACCCACCCAAAAATCAGATATATAACTAACATAACGCACACACACACACACACACACACACACACACACAGTGTTTTTAATGCATTCATTATTATTAATTAATTTTATAACATTATAAAACTTATCTATTCATCATTACACCTTTAGAAAATATAATATAAAAATATAAAATTAAAACACATGACAATCAAACCATTAAATATTACAATGCATTTTAACTTTGGTTATAGCTATTTATGAAAAAAGATATGAATATATTTATCATGCATTATACATAAAGACTGTAAGTAAAGTGTTACTGATATCTGAACTGGAAAACAAGACAAAAATCCTGAGTAAAAAATAAATTTTTTGTAATCATTTTGTGTAATGTGGGAACATGAGATATCCATTACTCAACATTCAACATCTGACAGATAATTTTTAATAAGTGCAAATATTCCATGTGTTTGTTTACAGTAGTTTTGATTTTTCTATAAATGTGCAAGCAGCAGAAGAGATGAAGAACTGTTCAGAGCTTGAAGTCTGCTGCAGAAACAGAAAAACAAGCCTGATATTTTCTGTTTCTAATACTGGCCTAATCAAATCAATGCTGATAATGTCTTTAAAACGTCCTGATAACTGATTTGGTCGCTCACTGAAATATTGTGCGGCTCTCATATTCAATACAACGCTCATATTTTACCGTTTCTTCACCGCAGCACTTTGTAAATCAAATCAAAGCAGAAACACAGAAAGCGTTTCATATCTTCAGCTCTGAAAGCCTTTATAAATAATCACTTCTGCAAGCAAGCGTCTCACCCTGAACTCCTCTTTGATTGGACTGGAGTTGGTCTGAGGATCCAATCGGTTCATGTCGTAGTAAACCGAGCGAAGCTGATTGGCTGGGATGGTGGTGTCGCCGCAGAGACACGCCTCCAAGATGGCGTCATGAATGAAGACATACTGCTCCTGACAAACACAAGAAAGCAGATCCAGTACGACTGAAGACTATCAAATGATGACAGAACGACTAGAGTTCAAACCGTTTTTAAAAGAAATGACTACTTTTGTTCTTCAAGAACACATTAAATTGATCAAAAGTGACATTAAAGACATTTATAATGTTACAAAAGATTTCTATTTCAAATAAATGCTGTTCTTCTGAACTTTGTTCATCTGTGAATCCTGAAAAATTAAATGCATCACAGTTTCCACAAAAACATTGGGAAACACAACTGTTTCCAACATTGAAAACAAGAAATGTTTAAAAAGGAAATTGAAATTAAATATTTTAAGTATTATTATTATTATTATAAATGTTTAATTTGAATTAAAATTAAACAATTGTTAACTATTAATATAAATTTTAAATTAATGCAAATATGTAAATATAAATTTCATTAATGTAATTAATTTGTAATTAACACATTTTAAAATAAAATTTTAATAAAAATTTAATAATTTTAAATATTAATATAATTGTTAAATTAATATAAATATGTAAATATATTAGAAATAAAATACCTGTAAATTAATATAAAGATATTTTTAATATAATTAAGGAAAGAAAATTAAGCATTTTTTAATTCATAATATAAAATTTGAATTAAAATTTAGCCATTTTAATTATTAATATAAATGTTAAATCAATACAAATATGTAAATATATACATATATGAATATGTCATTAATGTAATTAAGAAAATGAAAACTTCGAAAAATGAATTTTTAAAAAAATTATTAATCAGCATATTATACTGATTTCTGAAGATCATGTGACACTGAAGACTGGAGTAATGATGCTGAAAATACAGCTGTGCATCACAGAAATAAATTACAGTTTAACAGAGATTCACATAGAAAACCGTTATTTGAAATTGCAATAATATTTCAAATTTTTTCTGTATTTTTGATCAAATAAATGCAGCCCTGGTGAGCAGAAGAGACTCTTTCAGAAATCTTTTGAACAGTACAGTAGGTCATTGCCGTGTAATGAATCAGCTGTAGTTTTCTGCAGAAGTAACTGCTTGATTTCCTCCGTCGCTGTGCTGCTTTTCTCTCTTCATCTGCTTTGTATTCATGGAATTTGTCAGCGTTGCGATTGCAGATGCCGCTGTGATTGCACTCATTTGTTTCACGAGAGACTTTGACGGCGTAAAACAGAAAGAACATCAAACTGTATTAGCAGCGAGTCGTCATGCGTGATGCGACGAGCGTTTGATGGAAATCACTGCTGAAGTGACATTTCCGCAGCATCTTGGCCTGTCGCTTTGACTAGATAGTGAGGACGGGGTCAGCGCGTCTCTGATTAGGCATCCGCCGTGACCTCTGACCTTTCCGGTGGCGCGTCCAATCAGAATGCAGCCTAAAAAGCATGCAATCAGCAGCGGAGCTCTAATGAGTGTGTGTCGCCCAGAATGATTAGTGACGGTTCAAACACGCGTGTGAAAAGGTAACGTGTGCCCATCGGGCGTCAAAGCGTGCCAAAACACCGGCGAGCGAAACACACACACAAACACACACACACACACACACACAC